GTGTAGTGGCTTCCCTTCCCTATAATTCTGTTCTATCTGTGAAATTCTGATGGAACCAGCTTACCAGGCTTGAAAACAGGGTATGCTGCAGATAGTACTTTGTTTTAAAACATAGAGGAAGTGTAAGAGACTACTCTCTTTTTCTTTCCCCCAAAGGTTAAGATTTCCTGAAGTACAGGACAAAGACCCACTTGCTTACTGCTATTTACTGTAATAAACCCAGCAAGTTAATGCTCTTATTCGTTGCAGAGAACTCTCTCCATGCATCCTAAGTAGGTTTTGGGTGCTGGTATGCTTCAGTATGGCTGTAAAGCCAAATGAAATACCACTCCATAGCGTGTTGTGGTGTAACCCCAGCCAGCAACTGAGCCCCACGCAGCCTCTCGCTCACTCCCCCTCGGCAGGATGGGGGAGAGAGTCAGAAGAATGAAAGTCAGAAAACTCCTGGGTTGAGATAAGGGCAGTTTAATAGGCAAAGCAAAATTGCGTGCACAAGCACAGCAAAACAAGGAATTCATTCCTCACTTCCCACGGACAGCCTATAATTCTGTTCTATCTGTGAAATTCTGATGGAACCAGCTTACCAGGCTTGAAAACAGGGTATGCTGCAGATAGTACTTTGTTTTAAAACATAGAGGAAGTGTAAGAGACTACTCTCTTTTTCTTTCCCCCAAAGGTTAAGATTTCCTGAAGTACAGGACAAAGACCCACTTGCTTACTGCTATTTACTGTAATAAACCCAGCAAGTTAATGCTCTTATTCGTTGCAGAGAACTCTCTCCATGCATCCTAAGTAGGTTTTGGGTGCTGGTATGCTTCAGTATGGCTGTAAAGCCAAATGAAATACCACTCCATAGCGTGTTGTGGTGTAACCCCAGCCAGCAACTGAGCCCCACGCAGCCTCTCGCTCACTCCCCCTCGGCAGGATGGGGGAGAGAGTCAGAAGAATGAAAGTCAGAAAACTCCTGGGTTGAGATAAGGGCAGTTTAATAGGCAAAGCAAAATTGCGTGCACAAGCACAGCAAAACAAGGAATTCATTCCTCACTTCCCACGGACAGGCAGGTGTTTGACCATGCCCAGGAAAGCAGGGCTTCATCATGTATAATGGTTACTTGGGATGTAAAATCCCATCACTCAGAATGGTCCCTCTTTTCCTTCTTCTCCCCCCAGCTGTATATGCTGAGCATGACACTGTACGAAAGCAGGGCTTCATCATGTATAATGGTTACTTGGGATGTAAAATCCCATCACTCAGAATGGTCCCTCTTTTCCTTCTTCTCCCCCCAGCTGTATATGCTGAGCATGACACCGTACGGCATGGAATGTCCCTTTGGTTAGTTGGGGTCAGCTGTCCCGGCTGTGTCCCCTCCCAGCTCCTTGTGCACCCCCAGCCTGCTCACTGGTGGGGTGAGGAGCAGCAAAGGCCTTGGCTCTGTGCAAGCACTGCTCAGCAGTAAGGAAAACATCCCTGGGTCATCAGCACTGTTTTCCAGCACCAGTCCGAAACAGAGCCCCATACCAGCTACTGTGAAGAAAATTAACTCTATCCCAGCCAAACCCAGGCTTATTACAGTGTAACTTCCTTCTAAAAACAACTCTCCTTTTAAGGACTCTTATCTAAAATAACTAATGAGTGTAATGGCATTAAATAATAAAATACTGTTATGATGCCAAAAATAACTTCCTGGTCTCTTTGATCTTCATTTCAGCTAAAGATCTAAAATTCCACTAGAGACGTTTGTAAACAGACTCCATTAATCCAAACAAATTGTTTTGAAAACCAGCAACTGTAATAGATGATGATTAAGATAGTGAATAACCTTGAGTTTTAATTTTCCATACAGCATTAGTTAACTCCGCGTTAATTGAAGTCACGCCTCCAAGTCACGTACTGCGCTGAATTCTGCGTGTGGCTACCTCTGCCTTGCCTGTAATTAATCATTCCCTTATTTCTTGGCAGCAGCCATTATTGGGCAGGGAAATGCACTTCCCGGTGTCGTCTTGAGCCCTTACGGCTTCTGCCTGCCCTCTGCACGCTGGGGCTCTGTGCAGCACTGGCTGGCCCAGCAGCGTGGGGTCTTGTGGCAGATGACAGGGATACGTCTGTAGTGTTTTCAACTGGTGTGCTGATGGGAACTTTCTCTTGTGGTCTTTAAGCCCTTCTTCTACCATTGAAAAGGTTCAAATTTAATTTTTTCTACATGCACATTGTTTAGTAGCATTCAGTGCACGTGTAACCTAAGTTCGGTGTGTCTGCGTGCTGCTTCACGTGTTTTGCCATAAAGCTTTAGGTGACTACTGAAGAATAAGAAGGATCCCGTTTCAGGAGGTGCAGACATACGTTATTTATGTTTAGAAAAAAAAAGAGATCTGGTTCTAACAACAAATCATTATTTTATGTGTTTATAAAGAATGCACCGATTGATGTAACGATCTCCATCAAGAGCACCAGTGGAGTTAATAGAGAACTGCAGTGTCTGTGGCTTGGCCCTTTGTGTGCTTCGGGGACCTCATTTCTGATTGCCTTGTTCTCTCAAAGTTCCCTTATGGGGCAGAGAATTAACTCCCATATAGCGGAAGCCTGGGAGCAGCTGGGCCTGCTAATGACGGGCAGTATGGATTTGTGCTGTGCCATACATGAATTTCTCCCCAGGGATAGACCCCTGGTGTTATCCCAGCGCATCTTGTGCCGGTAAGTGCCCTCAGACAATGTGGTGCCACTCATGGCACTCAATCTTACATTACTAAAACGTTGCTCTGGGGCATATTTTGTGCCTTGTGGATGTACCAGTCTGTTCCAGCTTGTCCAGAGGAGCAGGGGCAGAAACGGGGCTGTGCTGATCAGTTCCCCACAGTGTACCCCGCAAGGGAAGGACGGAGTTGGCCAGACATGATAGGAAGCCTTTGTCAGACTCTTGGGTCTTCCTGTAAGCTGGTTCACCAAATTACAGTGCAAAAGTAATTTGTGTTTAGTTCTAGAGTTTGATTATGGTGGTTTTGCCTGTTTTCCAAGTGTCTCCTGTTTTTGAATGCTATGTTAATGGTGGAGCTCATTCGGTACGTGGGACGGAGGGGGAACTCGGTTGTTGAAGTGCTCAGCTTGTCCTTTATCTGTACTTCTCACCTGAACTCAGTTCTTGCAGTGGGATAGCTGTAAGAAGGTTTAAGTGCCAACAGGTTGAATAGCAGTGAAGAACAGAACTGGACACGGCTGAAGAGCCGAAGGCAGAGGAGTCAGTGCCGCAGTGAGGGTTGGAAGGGGTGGTTTGGAAGGTGCACGTCAACCCTAGATTGCAAGCTTCCAACAAAAAGCAAGAAAGCAGTTGTAGGAGGTAAGAAATTTCCTAGCAGTGTCAAAATAAATGGTGAAAACAGCATTTATCGGTATGAATATTGCAGCGGCGTTGTTCAGAACATCCCTGTGGTGTCTGAGTTGTGCACGAACAGGGCTGGGTGCCAGCGTGGCAGTAACGGGGGCGGAAGGGGATGGCACCTTGCGTTTTTGTAGGAGATCGTACGGGGGTGAGTGCTTTATTTTAGCTTCTCGTTTAAGCGTTTGTACGGCTCCGTCTGTAGGTGTCAGCAGGAGAAGCTTCTCCAAATGTTGATTTAGAACAGCTAAATCGGGTGTCTTCCTGCGAAGGGAGACCTAGGCACTGTGTCAGAGGAGTGTTCCCCTTTGTGTTACCTGTAGAGCCGTGCTGATGGCCACCACAAGCTGCCAGGCTTTTATGGCTATTCCCCTAACTGTGTGTGTGGGAAATTCCAATAAATGCTCAGTGGAAAGTAGTGTAAATATTTTATTCCTCTCTCTCTGAGAGAAAGGAGCTTGTGTTGTTCGTAATTGAAGAACATAAAGCAGATGGGTTGAGTTCTGTCCCGACACCCACTCTGTTAGTATAGCTTTCGGGTACTTTCATCTGTTTTGTTGACACCTGTATACAACTTCCAGTTATTAACATTTGATTTATTTAAGTGTGTGCAGTGGGGAAGTATTAGGTTCCATATCTCATCTGAGGGCTTGCTCTTAATAAATTGCTCTCTTCTGATGGTCCCTCAGAGCTTTAAGGAAAGACGCAGTTGTATTTGGTAACTAGAAACAATGGATTAAAAAAAATAACTAGCTATTGCTGTAATGGGCATTGCAGGAAACGAACTGAACGTAGCTACTCTGTGGCTGGAATTAAAGGGTTGTGTCTGTTTCTTCTGAATACGTTGTGAGTCAAGACAGTTATGTGTTTATGGTATTACAGAAGCACAGAAATTTGTGGCACTGTACGGAGATATTTTTACTTCTGCTGTAATCATAGGCAATGTAAGCGTAACTTGGGGACTGCGAGAAGCACGTGTGCTACGGCAAACTGAGATACATGGGTTAACTGTCTGTCAGTCACTTACTCTTCTGAGCCACCGCTGCTGCGTGTGTGCTGCTTTTTTCTTGCTGTGGGGAGAGGGTGCGTATTCGGTTTGTGCATCCTCTCTAAGAGGTAAAAGAGGCAGTTTTTCTAGCCCTAGTACTGACAGCGTTACCGTCCGCTCTTTAAAAGCCTGGTCCGGCGTACAGACCGGTGCCTGGCCCTCCCCAGCTGTGCCAGGGGCCGACTGGGAGCCGTTGGCTGGAAACCTCCTGGTGCTGTTTTTGTGAAGTGGGTGCTCGGGGCGTACGGCTGCATGCACGGCGAAGGGCTGAACTGTTCCTGTGCTGTGCTGGCGTCGAAATGCGGCGGGTGACTCCCGATGAGAATTGAAGGCGCTTGCGGTTAGATTGGCTTCCTCGCTTTCGGCGTGCGCGGTGCAAGGTTGACCTGCGGCCTGAGAAACTCGCGTGAAACTCAGCCTTACTCGGTGTTGTGTATCTGGGGTTTTTTTGTTTGGATGCTGCCCTTAAACCCCTTAACTGAACAGGTAACTGGGAGCTTAAAAAGCACGTTTGATTAGGGTCGTTGCTATTCTCCTGTGGGTTTTTCCCTGACTTTGTTCTTTTTTTTCCTCTTTCTTAGTCTTCATGAAGAAATCATTGACTTTTACAAGTATATGTCTCCCAGACGTGAAGAAGAGAGAATGCGGATGGAAGTGGTGAACAGGATAGAAAACGTCATAAAAGAGCTCTGGCCTAATGCAGATGTGAGTAGGACACGGTTCTGTTTGTTAACATGTAAAAGCAGTATTTTGTGCCTGTTTACTTTGGGAAGTATTGAATAATGAAAATACTGTTTACTTTTTGGCATTTAAAAACTGGAAAGGATTTCTGGTCAAATAAGAGAGATGATCTTTATTGCTGGAAGAATAAAGGTGAACGATTTCTGTCACAGGAGCAAAGACAAGGTAGACCTACTGTAGTCAAAGAAAGGGCATAAGGTGTGGCAACATTTAGTCTCATTAATATTTATTTACCGAGATTAATGAGAACATCTCAGGCATGCATGCACGCTTCTGATATATGGTGTTAAAACAAATCTTCTGCGTCTTGTAGCTTTGCCAGTGGCCGGGCTTCGAGGCCCAAGACCTGCGCTCTTGAGTAAGTGTGTGAAGGTGGAATGTCAGCAGTGCCACGTTACATAGACTGTGCTGTTTTTAATGGACAGTTAAACTAAATGGACATATTTTACAAATTTAAAGGAAGCACGTTTTTTGTGCAGAACAAACACTACTGTAAATCTGTGTATCCAGCTTAAAATCAGTAATGCAGCTTTCCACTGAAGATGTTTTTTTTGCTAGTACTTCATTCAGTGGAAACAAGAGCTTCTCCTGTGCAGATCCATGCTTTTCTAATAAAGGTTGGATTAAAGAGAAGCCAGAGAAGGTGCTTTTACGATTCAAGATTGTTTTATGGGGACGCAGTTGGAATTTTAGCGTAATTGAATCTAGTTTAATTGTATCCCTCTACTAACATGGTGTTCATTTCCAAAGTAGAGATTTGTAGCTGTAATCATCTATCTGTAGATAATGGTAGCTGAAAATATGGACTTGCTAGCTGGAATAGCAAACCAAATTCAAACAGCATAGCCTTTAATATAAGGAATACTCTTTGACCCTGCCACGGTAAAAGGTAATGTTTTGACACGAGTGACTTAAACCCACTGTTCATTTCAGATCCTCTTACCCTGGTTTTTAGAAATTGGTAGAATATGAGAGAATATGAATTCTGCATAAGCTCTATGTATGTGTTGTGTGGTTTGTGTGTAAAGTATACTCACATTTTCAAGGTGGTTGATGTTGCTATGGACAACATACTGGTAACATACAATGTGGAAGGGGCCCTCTGCGCTCAATGATTGCCTCTGCACAGTTACGGGGAGCTGATGGAGTCAGTACTACACGTCTGGGTTTTCTGTTTGAGCAAAACCACTCAGCTTGCCAAGGGTGCTGCGTGAGAGACTTCAGCGTATCTCCCAGATGTTGTACAGCTCTCCTCTGACCCAGAGAAAGGGTTGTAGACCCCGATCCAGAGCAGGAGCAGTGGGCTGCCAGTCTGGCAGGCAGTAGTGTGGGCAGGAAACAGTGCTTACGATGATACCCCCTGCCACAGGCCGGTTGCAGGGTGTAGAGCTGATTGCTTCAGTCTAGAGAAGATGCCACCATTTCCTGGACGAGTGGGTGTGCTGCAGGCTTACCTAGTGCAATGGGGTGAGTGGATTTGGTGCCAGCAGATCTGTCTTCGTTACACTAACACTTTGAATGGGGCACAGGAACTTAGTCCTTTCAGAGATACTCTGTAGGACAGACTTTGTCTGAAAAAACTGTCTTTTCTATTAAAATTTTTTTTTTTTAATATATATATATGTGTGTATGACTCTGGGGCCCTGAGAAAATAGTCTTTAAGCTGCTGAAACTGCCTGTTGTAGCCATATTCTGTTGAAGAAGGGGAAGCAAATCAGAAGCCCTGCCACAAGTCACAGCTGACCACTGGGCTTAGCCATAAGAGGACTGAGAGGGAAGCACACACCGTGCAGTCGAACGCTGAAGTTTACTTTTCAGTTAGTGCCAGTTAGAACGGCCGTGACCGTCTGTCTTTGCTGTTCGTGAAAATGTTGGAGAGCAAGAGCCTGGCAGTTCCTTTTTCTTAAGCCAGTAACTGCTCTTCAGAGCCAAACTCTGCATTTTGTCTGCTGTTGGTATGTCGAGGAAGAATTCTCCTCGTGTATGCCTTTCCATTTTCTGGAGGGAACGGAACGGTGACAAGAGCACACCAGGTCATAATCTGGAAGTTACTGTAATGGTGTTTTTCTGACGTGTACTTTACAGATCTGCTGGCGAGCTGAACTGCTGAACTCAACCATGTTCAACTTTGACAGTCTTTTGTTGTAACTTTTCAGTCATTTGAGTTAATCACTAACCTTCTGGAAATCTGTGTTGGTTTAGTTACTTGTAAGATTTGAGTTTTGAGTACATGCTCGGAGAAGGTGGAGTGTTACCTGGTCCAATGTCCTCAGCTTTAGCTGTGGTGTAAAGCAATAAGTTAATGTTTAAGCTGTTCATTTGAAGTCATAGGTGCAGTGAATCCAGCTAAAAAAAAAAAACAACATGTAAGTTAAACATACACGTTTAGTTTGTAGTTTCTCACTGAACACGTAGGTAAGACATACTCTATAAAAATCAGATACCAAGAAAAGGAAAATCAGGCTTCATGAATCTAAATGTATAGAGTGTGTGTGGAACGTGTCTGTGCACATGCTTTTCTTTTTTTTCCTGTTCCACTTAGGAAAAGGCTGAAAAAGCAGATGGAGGGGGGGTAAAACTAGGTATCCTAAACTGTTACTTTATTTATAGAAGTTAGCAATTTTGTCATTTGCTCTCTTACTCAAGGGAATGTGCTTAGAAGGAAACATTCCTAGTAAGTGAGAACTGTTCTTGGCATCAGTGAGGCTCTGACCATAAGAAAGGCTTTAATTACACTGAAACTGAACAACCCAAACATTAAACAAAAGCATTTTAAGACCAAGTTTTTTGACCAGCTGAATATGAAAATTTGCCCATGGAGCACATAAGTACTGATGCAGTGGAATTTAAGATACACTTGTCGTGAAGTCCTTGGGCTTCGTGTCTGGGTATTATGTGGCCTCGTGGATCTGGAAAGAGCTAATGTTGCATACTTCAGTTATGGAAATACTATGATTGGGAATAGAAGTAGAAAGAGGAAATCTATCTGGTTTGACAAACCCCAGAAAATTCTACTTAATGATGTAGAAGAAAGGGAAATGTAAGTTGGCTACGGATAGGTTTGGTTTGTTTTGATGGAGGGATTTTGGTGGCAAGGACCTTCCAAGCTTTTGTGGTTTTCAAGTCCTGTTGTGCGTAGTGAGGACGTATTTGGATACATAACCATAATTAGGGCTCCTTCAGGAACTTTGGAATTTAATGTGAACAAGGTCACAGAAATGTAGGATAAATAGCACCAAGAACATAGAGGGGTAGGAGTCTGTTACAGTACTGTGAAGTCTTACCTTCTCTTACGAGTGCACATACGTACCTCCGTCCACGTAGAACAAAAACCATAATTGGCAGTGCTGGCACACCACAAAAACTGATGCTCACATCTCCCAAGTCATAGTCGTGTCTTGTATTTGGGATATTTTAAATATGTACATGGCTGCAGAGCTTCAACAGTTTAAATTCAAATTGAGTAATAAATCAAAGGCCTTGAAAATTCCTGTTCCTATTTCCCCACTCTTCCATCATTCAGATTTGATGAGGGAGAGATTGAAGTGTGGGTGTGGGTTTCTCTTACAGCAATTCAGTGTTTCTCATACTCCAAGTTACTGTACAACAGCAGATGTTGCCTCATTCCTTTCAGTAAAGGTCATATATGTTGTATCAGTAAGTTTATGAATACTTTCAGGGTTGTTTATTCAATAAAGGCTCTCATACAGTTCAGCTGAAAACGCTATTTTGTATGATAATGTGAAAGCATATTTAGGTTTTTCTGAACCCATCAGTGGTGGTTTTATCGTGCAAAAGCACTTTTCAGATGTTCTTGGTGGCCACGTAAATCCTGGTTTGACTGAACCCAAACGGTTTTGCAGAGGATGCTTTTGTTATTAACTTGGATTAAAAATGGTAATAATAATTATTATAACAGTCTTAGCCTTGTGATGCCTTTATGCTTTTACTGGGGGCTAGTACAGTAATGGTGCTGGTTCTGAGGCATCTCTTGCAGTCTTTTCTAGTTTGAGAAGCTGTGGACTTTCAGCATGACATGCACTGCCAGCATGTGCGTTTTGTTGGGGTGGGGATGAGGGGGTAAAAAGAGTGAAGCGATGGAGACACTCGTACTGCTTCTTAGTCTGCTGAAGTATCCAGACTCTTGCAAAACATTGTCTTTTCCTGTCTTCCCTTTTTCTTATCCTGGAGGAGGAAAACATAAAAAGTGGGTCACTTGACGTACAAATAGGTGGCAATCAAGCTGGTGCATGAGACTCATTAAAGCAGAATACCCAAGTCTGTAAGGTGGCTCCAGGAAACACATCAGAAGGCTGGCTGGTTGAAAATTAGTCCGAATGTGTAGATATTTTTACTTTGAAGTCTCAGCAGTCCTCCTTTGAGACTCAGGCGCGTGAGTCCACCTCCCTGCGAGGCGAGGCTGAGTTAATGAGACCGTGGTTTCGGACAGTTTACAATGGAAACCTGATGATTGAAACCTCCAGTGCCAGTAAAAATCCAGCATAATGAGCTAAATCTGTGGGATGTGAAACTTGCTGAAACTTTTATTTTGGTGGTGTTTAGGCAGAAATACACAGTTGTGCTGCTTGCTCTGTAATTCAGGAAAAAAGGGATTGTGATTTAATTTTTCTTGAAGTATGCAAAGCTACGGAGATACATTGAGATATGAAAGCAAAAATAAATTGAACTGATGCTAATTTTTTATGTTCTGCTCTTCTTAATAGGCTTAAAATCTTTTGGTTCATGGGGTTTTGCCCAATTAGGTCATGGTGAAAATTTTTACATTACAAAGAAGGTTTTGTAATAGAAAAGTCAACGTTATTCATGTTTTGAGTGTAATAACAATGAAGATTAGAGATTTATAATACACTGAAGATGTAAATGCTTTAACAGAAAAGAGTAGTTCCGTTCAGTGTGCCTGTTCGCAGTACCAGAATCGACCAATGGAGGGTAGCAACAACCAGCCTTTGCAAACAACTTAATAGAACTTGTTTGTCTTCTGAAGCTTGAAAATTTTTTTTCATATATCCTGTTCTTGTGTTTCAGGTGCAGATATTTGGAAGCTTTAAAACTGGTTTATATTTACCTACAAGGTTAGTAAGTTTTCAGTGTAAATTCTGTCTAAGAGAAAGGATATCTTCTTAAACCTGTACCCCTGTTGTGATTTATCTGATCTCCCAATAGCCGTGTGACTTGTGTATAATTGTTACATTAAGAAAGTTTAAGCTATTAATACTTTGCAGAGTGTACAGAGATACAGTAATTAAGACTGTTAATTTTAAGACATATGTCTGTAGATTTTGCAGGTATGGGTAAAAGATCTGAATTGCCACATTGTCAAAAAAGGCTTATTTTGTGATTTGGTTTCATTAAATGACTGGACCCAAATAAGAGGTTGGCCTTAAAAGAAAAGCTAAATTTTACCTCCACAGAGGATTAAACCAAAACATTTAATGTCACCTTGTTAATGATAATGTTTGCACTGAAGAGAAAAGATTACATACAGAATTGGGGTTTTCTTCCTGTTGTCTTTTGTACGATTTGTACGTCAGTCAACACCTACCTTTTCCCAATTTACTGCTAGTTTTCATAAAGAAAAGTTGTTACTCAGGGACATGAATGTGTTCTGTGTAGAAACTGTGAGTATTTTTGACAGTTAAATAGAATGAAAGGCTTAAATGGCTGCAGGGGAAAAATACATTTAAATAGTGTGAGGTTAAGACTTGAATTGAGTTTTGTACTTTGGGAACATGAGGAATTGGTATCTGGAACTGACTGCCAGTGATGGATACCCACACTGTCATTTCATCTCGTTCTGGAAAAGAAAGTCTGACAGATGCTTTGGTATCTGCTCTAGTCTAAGGAGTGCCAGGAAAGCTGAATTGCCCAGCTTCTGTTTGAAAGGTCAGAAGTAAGGGGTACAAGTACACACTGTTTCACATTTGGCCTCATTCTTAGCTTTTTTTTTTTTCATTGATTTTAAATAGGCATGATTAAATGTGGTTGGATGCTGCTAATGCAAGAGAGAGATTCCCATCCACGTGACTGATAGCAATAGTTCTTCAGTCTGTTTGCTTGATTGTTTTGAAACTGATGTAACACAACCGCTTCGCTGCCTGTTGGTTTCATGTCCTGCCTTCCCTCTGCGTTTGCTTCAGCTGAGTTTGGGGGCGAGAACAAATGCAGATACTTTACACACAGTGCATAAAGCCCCAAAACCCTTCCTGCGGCAGTACTTGCCACACTTTCCAAATAAGCAGCACGTGCGTGTTGGTGAGTGCTTCACTGCTGCCTTCTGTCAAAGCTCCCTTTGCCCTGGGTTTTCCCT